CATATTTTGAAACAACCATCAAAAAGTTTAAGTGTTATTTTTTTGGTAGTATTTATTCTGTTTAAAAGGGTGAAAACAAAAAAAACAGCAATTGAAGGTTTCCGAAACATTCAACAGACAATTTTATGCAAAAAATTAATATTGCGTAACTACCCTAAACTTAAAAAGAAACAATTAAAGCACTTAAACTTGTTGATTGTTGTTAAAAAAAATCTTTTCGACGATAGACCAAAAGCAAGGTTAGGTAGGGTTGTACAGTCAAAAAATTGTTTACAGGTTATTATCGAAAGCGGTGTACAAAATACTTAAGCGCTAGTAATAAAGGGTTAATATAAAAAATATTGCAAAACCGCATAATCATCACCTGTTGAAGGTTAAAATTGCAACAGTTTATTTTGCGACGTTGCCAGAAGTAAAAAATGTCAACTAACGTTTGCTTTTATAAAGCTGCTGTTTATCAAAAAATTGTATCATGTTTTGTTTGTAAATAAAATAAAATCCAAAAAACATCTTAACATCGTTTTCAAATCAGAGTAGCGGTAATATTAGGGAACTACGATCGCTTATAATTTCTTTACATTTCTGTCCTTCAAAGTTCTACTTTTACTATTAATGAAGTCATAAGTGAAATTATTAATCGCAACTCTCGATAGGGTAATAGTATTATGTTTGGAAAATTTTTAATATACGTCATGAATAAGCAACCACAATGTGAATTAGTCAGAAGTTTAGACTCCACAGTTGGTTTCCTACGTCTTATTAAAATTTGCTATACTTTCAATGGTACATCAAACTTATTACTCCGTTATACTTATAAGTTAAAGGAGAAAGATCATTTTAAGGCAAAACTTTCAGACAACAGGATCAATACAAAAAAATTAAAGAATAAAAACTAAAAACGTCGAGTCTAGGATAAAATACATTCATGGAACTCCATAAATAGTAAATTTAAATCTGCAACGCCCAGCTCAAACTGATTTTGATTGGGATTTTCTTGAGGACTTTACTGATCCTGATTATGCTGTTTTGTAAAATTGTTTACTTATATCTGATCAATTTGTGCCTTATGCCTTAAAGTTTTAAACGAAAATACCCATCATGATATACAGTTGAAATAATCGACAATATTAAACTAAAAACCACTACTACAGAAAATTTTTACTTACTAAAAACATTTTCATTGAACATATACTTATTTTACTAAGGTTAAATAAAAGGGGTTTGCACAATGGGCCGTATGTGTTTCTACGTGCTGCCTGCAGAGGATCTCCTTCAAATCAAGGTTAAATAACAACCCCACTTTTTTTCATCGAAAATTGATAGTGCACATTTTTTTGAGTATGACGGGTGGAAATATAATGACAAATTAAAAAACTAAACTTTTTATTTTAAAATTAATTAAAAATTCAAAAATAAACTGTTCTTCAATCTTATAAATGTTCAAAATGTCCCCCGTCCACTTCCTGACACCCAACCCAACCCCGCACTCTGTTTAAAACCTCCGTTGTTATGTTCCTAATTTCTCCAGTAATTCTGTTTCTTAATTCATCTAAATTAGCAGGTTGTGTTTTAAACACCCTGTTTTTTAGATATCCCCATAGACAAAAGGTCTAGAGGTGTTAGATCCGGTGATCTTGCTGGCCATTCTATAAAACCCCTTCTTCCGATTCACCTGTGTGGAAAGGTGTCATTTAAATAATTCCGTACAGGAAGAGCATAGTGGGGTGGGGCACCATCTTTTTGAAGCCATATCCTTTCATTGGGAAGATTAGGTTCTAATGGATTTGGAAACAGCTCTGCTAAAGTTGGGACAACTTGTTCTCTTAGCATATCCAGATATCTTACCCTGTTAAGATTTTCAATGAAAATAGGTCCCACCACATGATCACCAACAATACCATCCCAAACGTTGATTTTCTGAGGACGTTGGGTATGACTTTGTCGCATCCAGTGGGGATTTTCTTCTGCCCAGTACCTGAAATTTTGTCTATTTACCTCGCCATTTAATAGAAATGTTGATTCATCAGAAAAAAGAACATCCGCAGAAGAAATAACATTCCTGTTTAACATATGCAGTATTTGCTCGCAAAATTGTAATCTTCTTTTAGAATCACCATCAATCAATTCTTGTACGTGTTGTAGTTTATATGGATACATTGTTTCGGCTTTTACACATCTTAAAACGGTCGAATGACTAACGTCGTTTTTACGTGCAACCTGACGCGTAGAAGTTGTTGGATCTTCTTGAAAAGCTAATAAAATATTAACTTTCACATTTTCATCAATAAAATGAGGCGTCCTGCGTAATGGTTTAACGTGTCCATATGCACGAAATTGTGCATGCATTTTAGACACAGTTGCCTGAGAAAGTGGTGGTAAATCTGGGTATTTTCCATTAAAAAGTTTGCAACTTGCTGTTGTGATCTGCACATATCAAAGTAACCAATCATCATTAATATTTCTATTCGCAGAGTTTCTGTCAAGGGTCGCATTTTTTAACTAAAATATTAACTGATGGATCTAACAAAATACTTCAATAAGTAAAGCGCAAAATGTTTCATTAGTAAAGCGCAAAATGTTTCATTAATAATAAAAATTTAAACAACGCAAAAAGGACAAACGCAAAAAATGGTATTAACAAAAAACAATAACAAAGCGAAAAAACATTAATATCTAAATAGCGAAAGCCACAACACAAGAAACTAAATCATAGAATAACAATAAAAAGATCATACTTGTAATTTTTAAATATTCACCCTGTATTGAAAATTATGGTTACTTATGTGGTATCGTAGTACCCAAAAAAATGTCACTATCAATTTTCGATGAAAAAAAGTGGGGTTGTTATTTAAGATAAGGGTGCCTAATATGCGGGGGTGAAAATGGTGGGGCATAAAATTTAAAATTATCATTACTTATAAGATTTGGAATAAAAAACTAAAGTTTACGTGTCCGAGCGTTTTCCATATATCTTTTCTCAACGAATAACGAATTTTATTCCATAAGTGAGTTCCACACTGTATATCTAGGTCATATACAGTGTGACCCATTTGTTTGCGACTCATCCCTTTAAAATCTTTATTTATTGTGCGATTTTAACCGAATTTGTTTTAAAGTGTAGATCTTGATAAACTGTATTTTTGGAGCAAAAGTGCAATATACAAGGCCTACTATGTCAGTTTTTAAGAGTACATTTTTAAGAATTCATATTAGCGTTTTTTTTTTAACCAAATCTAAGCACGGCACTGAATTCACCACCCCTTAAAACAACCCTGCACAATAATAACTACAAAAATTTATTCTGTCAAGTTATCCATGAAAAAAAACATTGAAAAAAAATTGAAATTATAGTAATAGTATCTTGTTACTATTAATTTAATTTTATTTCAATGTTTTTTTCATGGATAACTTGAAAAAATAAATTTTTGTAGTTATTATAAATAATTTTTCAATAAAATTTAGTATAGGGTTGTTTTGGGGGGTGGTGAATCCAGTGCCGCTTAAAAATTTGCTCTTAAAAACTGACCTGCTTCAAAAATACAATTTATCAAGATGTACACTTTAAAACAAATCCGGTTAAAATCGCAGAATAAATAAAGATTTTACAGGGGTGAGTCGCAAACAAATGGGTTCTGAAAAGACTTGCAAATGTAATCTTAAAATAATTATTTTTCAGCAGCAGGTGATTTAACTTCTTTGTGTCCTTTTTGTTTTTGTTTCAGTTTTTTTCTTCCAAATATTTTGTTTTTTGTATAAATTCACTTTTTTAATAGAGCTATGAAGCTCTTCATCGCTAAACATTTTTATCTACCAGAATCTACTTTGTTTGTGTATAATATATAATTACATATTATGTACGAGGTGTGTTCAGAAAATAACGGAAATTGTTAAATTTCGCGGCTTCGGAGGGTCCGGTTGTCATAAAATTTTATTTATTATGTTGGTATACATGCCCCCGATGTATGATAAAAACTTTAGCTGTTTACATTGTTTACTTTGTCTGTGGCAGCCGCTAAGGTTAGACGTGTTTTATGAGCTCGGCGATTTTCGTTCGTTAAAAGAAATGGATCAAAGAGAATTTGTATCCAATTTTGCTTAAAAAATGATATAAATTCTGTGAAATGTTAACAAAGGCCTATAGTGAGTCTGCTATAAGTAAAACAAGAGTTTTGTGGTATAAGAGTTTCCAAGATGGCCGTGAAGACGTTGAAGATGACGAACGTCCCGAACGCACAAGCACATTAACAACCGATAAAAACATGGAAAAAGTTGAAGAAATGTTTATAAACCATCAGAGAAGTCGCTGATGATTTTGGTATATCGATTGGCTCATCCCATGAAATTTTTTCAAATGTTTTGGGTATGAAACGCGTGGCAGCAAAATTTGTTCCAAAATTGTTAAATTTTGAACAAAATTTTTGGCCAAAAACAATACTGTAATGATGCCCCAGCCTGCATATATTTTGGAACAAATTCGCCAGACATGCCTCTGTCTGACTTTTTCCTATTCCCAAAAATAAAGAGAACCTTAAAGGGCCGTCGTTTTGCAAGCATATATGACATTAAAAGCGCATCACTGAAAGAACTAAAGGCTATCTTAAATATCGAGTTTTAGAAGTGTTTTTATTCATTTTATTAAATGTATTTTTTGGGTAATAAATGTGTTATTATTATTATTATTATTATTATTATTAATATTATTACTATATAATCAAAGAAGGGTGGATTACGAATTACATAATAATGCCTGGTCATACGATTTTATTACCAAAATAAATTATTAAACTAATAATTACTAAATTAATCTAAAATGAATTCCATGAACACTTTTTTGTAACTTTGACTTTTACAGCTTATAATATGAAAATACAAAACTGGATCACCCTGTGTAATCCAAAAGTGATTGGACCTATTGTCATCCCTAATATTAAACATTAAATTTCTGACAAAAAATAAAATTTGATTGTGGTATTGTTATAGACAGACAAACAGTCACTCACCGCCACTAAGCCGCCGTTGTCGCATGGAACATCTAAATAATTGAATCGGATCTCAATCAGTTGGTCTGGCTCCGCGACGATGTAGGCCCCGCATGCACTTTCTGTCGGTGAAATTGCCTTGTGGTAATATTCGCCTTCTTCAGACGTCATGTATATACATTCAGACTCTAGAAATAAAAATGCCATATTCGTAAATACAGATGTTCAAATTAATTAATTAATGATTCTTTAATTTATATTTCTGAACGGTTTTATTGTTTTTATGTTTTGGCATTTGAAGTTTTGTACTGGATTTCGTTTGTACTCTTTACTTTTTTAAGCATTATTTTTTAACACAGTAAAAAAATATTTGTTAATTTTAACCAAATATTAACCAGATTTAATGTTATCAAGGTCCACATTACTTTATGTTAAGTTTACAACCAACTCTGCCGTGCTTAATGAAAACGCCGTAACCAACAATTTTGCGATTTTTGGTTTACGGCATTTTCTACTAGAACAATTCATCCTGCGTCTATCCACCGTATCTATATATATACGGTTTTTTGAGTACCGGGGATAGACGCAGGATGAATTGTTCTAGTAGAAAATGCCGTAAACCAAAAATCGCAAAATTGTTGGTTACGGCGTTTTCATTAAGCACGGCAGAACTGTAATCTGTTGACTAATTGAATAAGTAGTTTGTAATTATAACAAACATTTTGAAGATTTAATAACAAAATATTATGTCAATAATTAACCATAATTCTGGTAATTTTCAAATGGACCTTATTTTACAAACCTTTTTGTAGGCCCAGTAACAAAAGTAATTGTTGAAAATTGGAAACCTAAATGAAAAGAATTTTGATAGGAAATGTTGCCTATTAATTAATTTCCCAAATAAAAAAATTAAAAGCAGTGAAGGCATCTTTTTCGGATACTTCGCACTTCGCACACTCGTTAAATAGGTTTATGGAATCCAAATAACAATAACAGATTTCTGGTAATATATTATAAACACTCTGGACAGTTACGTATTAGAATAAAGTAAGCAGAAACATACGTTGCAGACGCTGAAGTCAGTTGAACTAGTAGCTGCGTATTGTCAGTGTCATTGAGTCTAAGTGGGAAATATTTTGATTGACTGCCTGAAATCACGTGTACTTTTTAACGAAATAATTTGTTAAACATTAACAAAATAATCTGTAACGTATGAAATTAACAAAGTGCTTACAAAATTGCATATTACCTCTACAAAACTTTCAGTAAAATATTTTTTCTTTGTTAAAACAATTATAAACTCTGGTTTTCTACAAAAAAAAATATGTTAAAATTTTACAAAATAAAATTAACAAACCACAAACTTATGTTATCAAATCTGATTTTTATAACAGTGTACCTATTAAAAGTGAGTAAAAAATGTATAAAATAAATAATTACATTATTATACCTAAGATGACTAAAACCATATACATAATCAATACTGACATGACATGATTTCTTTTAGCAGATAAATGTTTATTCACGATTTTTGATAATTAATTAATTAATGACATACATTCCCCCTCCCTGTATATAACTCCTTCCATAGCAAACGTGTTATCTGGTAGTGTGATTAACTTTCAGGTTAAAATAATTATGAGATACGTTTTTACAATTTTAAAATATCATTTTCAACATTTAAATTAGCATCACTTAACAAAAAACATTGTGTTTTCCTCTCAATTGCTCTCTAAATGAATTATAATTATACAATTTTTAGGATTTTCTTAAATATCTTTCAGAATATTTATAAAAAAATATATGCATTTATATTTAAAGAAAAAATGTTGTTTATAGTATTTTTTTAATATTATTATAATTGTTTTTTTATTTTAAAGACGAAGCAAAATTAGACCATAATTTATTTATTTGACAAACTACCTTTATTTGTCGATAAACTATTGGACTATAAAAATTGATAAAAAAAGCACCTAAAAGCACCTAATATAGTTCTATAATTTAAGGTTTTGACATCTTTTTAGTTTTAATCAAATATTTTAGGAACTCTGGTTTCTTTTTAGACTTTGAAATTTTATTTTTTTAGGTTTGTTTGTACGCCACTTTTTTTATTTAATTGACCTTGTAGCTCTTTGAATAAAAAAATACCCATTTGTACAAACATAGAAGGCTACTTCCACCCTGTATAATGACTTAAGTCATAATACATTTTAAATTCTCATAAGTTGTATATGAAACTAAGTTGTATGGTACATTATAATTATTATAATTGGTGGTACCAAATACCGGACTAAACAAATACGAAACTTAACCTGGAGTTCGATAGTGTTAAAACTTATTTATATACACAGGGGTCCTGTGAGAGAGTTTAAAAACATGTTTTTCAAAATTGTAGTTGATCCTTTTTTTTAATTTTGGAAGTTAATTCAAATACCAACTGTAATTTAGTGACTTATTTAAGATTTTTTGCGAATTTCTTTAAAACTGAGCCCTTTAGGAAAAAAAATTAAAATAAAGAATTAAAGACGACAAAATTATCTATTAAATGATGCCTCAACAACCGCAACCATTGGCGTAGATATTTTTTTTTAATTACAAAATGTTTAAAAACTTTATGATTTTGCACATTAATCGCCGAAACCACACAAAAAAGGAAAGGACAATAGTAAATGGTGTATCTTTTAAAAAAACTATGTATTTAAGAAAAGCAGGACTTTTAAATAAATTGAGTACCTAAATAATGTATGTTCAGTTGAGGTATACGCTCACGCAATAATACTAACATCAGTAGCTTATTGCCAACAAGGAGTAAATTAAAGAATCTAGTTAGCCATCACCTTTGCCAGGCAACACTTTTGACTACGTATTTTGGAACGGACTAGTGAAACTTCTGGGAAAAGAAAAAGCGTTGAGATGGCCTAAACACTGAATTTGGTCTGTAAGAACTACCAAGGTGACATATTTGAGGGAAATGCATGCTTCTAAAACATACTGACACTCAATCGTAAGTCCAAGGAATTTAGTGTCATATGACGTTTTAATAATTGTATTATTTAGTGTAATTGTCTCTATATTTATCTGGTTTGACAACATTGTTTTAAACAAGATACAATTCGTTTTTGTTTCGTTTAAAATTAATTTATTATTGGAAAACCATCTACATATACCTGATATTACATTATGACCTTGGCTAAGTACGTTTTCTACAGAATTTGATTTTATTAAAATGTTAGTATCATCAGCATAGCTCACAATACATTGACTAGAGTTCGCAGGTAGACATAGATAGAGATCATTCACATATATAATAAATAAGATTGGACCTATTACGCTACCCTGAGGAATTCCCAGGGATACATTAAGGTCATCTGAAGTAAACTTTTGGTTATTTATACAAATTTGCACTCTTTGCTTTCTGTTCGATAAGTATGATTGAAACCATTTCAATGCAATACCGCGAACACCATACTTTTCAAGTTTTTGGAACAATATGTCATAGTTTAAACAATCAAAGGCCTTACTTAGGTCTAAAAAAATTCCTAAAGAACTTTGTTTTCCTTCAAAACTTTTTAACACCTGCTCTGCAAATTCATAAATAGCAGTTTCAGTTGTTCTACCCTTTATGTACCCATGCTGATGTTTGTTAAACAAATTATACTGGTTAAAAAAGTATACTAATCTATTACACATAGCTATTTCAAATATTTTTGAAAAGCTTGATAGCAAGCTAATAGGCCTATAGTTTTCAATAAGTGAAGCATCACCTTTTTTGTAAATTGGCTTAATTAATGCAGTTTTTAAGTTATTGGGAAATATTCCAAATTTTAGCGAGTTATTTACAATATGACACACAGGGTAACATAGCTCAGACATACAATATTTTAAAATTGTAGGAGGAATTTCGTCCAACCCACAGCTAGTTTTATTTTTAAGCTTTGTTATGATATTAAAAATCTCTACATATGACACATCTTTCACAAACATTGAATTAAAGTTATAGCTAATATCACAGTTAATATTTACAGGTGGTATTTCGTTTACTAACCTTATGGCTGCATTATTTATAAAGCTATTAATATCATTTGCTACTTCCAAAGGATCACCTGGAATATGCAAATCACGGTTTGTTTTGTTACCTTTAATTTCCTTTACAATATTCCATATGGTCTTTGGTTTATTATCAGACTCTTGAATTTTGTTTGAATATTCCGAATATCTAGCACCTCTTAATAATTTATCATATTGTTTTTTGGCCCCTTGATAAGCTTGATTAAAGGTACTATCACAACTTTTCATGGTATATAGAATATCAAGATTATGTTTACATTGTTGAATGTCTTTTGTTTGTAGATTTTTTTCTTTCTTTTTATGACCCGCACTTTTGGAAAGCATTCATTGAACAGAGGCACAAACACGTTCACAAATTGACACCATTGCCCTTCCACGTCACTGTCACTACACATGTATACGCTGACCCAATCCTGCTGCTGAAGTTTCATTCTGAATGTATTTTTTTGCCTGAAGACTAAAAATTCTTTTGATGTTGGGGTACTCCTTTTTCGCTGTTGTGTGAAACACTAACCTTTGAGCTCTATGATCTGAGATGTGGCTTACAATAACATTTGCGGTAAATTCAGTCCTATTGGTGAATATATTTTCAATGCACGTGTATATTCCTCTATAGTGGGCTCTAACCCAAAATAATTCATTAGGTTTAAAAATTGCCTACTTACTGTGTTTTCTTGCTTTATGCATATGTTAAAGTCCCCAGCTACATATATGTCAAGGTTTTCCTTCTCTACCCTTATTAACAAGCTTTGGAGCTTCTTGAAGAAAACCTCTGTATCAGAATCCGGTGTTCTGTAGATGCATATTAATATAAATCGATTGTTTTCGACGCACACTTCTGCAGCTGAGCATTCAAATGTTTTTTGCTCAGCTTCAGTTTGTAGGTCTTTTCTCAATTTTGATTTAAAGCCGTCTCTGCAGTATATTACAGTGCCTCCATGTGAGCCACTATTTCGACAGAAATTTGTAATCATTTTGTAATCTCTGAAGTTGTAAGATTTGAGCTGCTCCTCAGACTTCCAATGCTCACTGGCACAGAAGCATATACACTCTGGATTGTCCTCTAAAAGTAGCTGTAATTGATCAGCGCAGTTTCCAATTGATTGCAGATTTTGATGTA